TGTGCCTGTAGTCCCAGCTACTTGGGAGGCTGAGGCAGGAGAATCATTTGAACCTGGGAGGCGGAGGTTGCAGTGAGCTGAGATCCTACCACTACACTCCAGCCAGGGTGACAGAGTAAGACTCCGTCTCAAAAAACCGAAAACATAGAACAAAAAGCCAAAACAAAGCCCCCTTATTCATACACAATGGATTTCTCCTGGCCGCTATTTCTAGTTATACACAGTCTTCTTACTATCTTAGCAAAATCATTCTGAACTTCCATTTCTCAGGTAGAAAATAGATGCCAACTCAAGATAGATTAAAGACTTAAATGTAAGACCTGAAATTATGAAACTACTAGAAAAAAATAGGGAAAATGCTTCAGGCCATTGGTTTAGGCAAATAATTTATGGCTGATATCTCAAAAGCACAGGCAACACAAGCAAAAATAGATAGGTAGGATATAGCTTCTGCACAGCAAAAGAAACAACACAGTCAAGAGACAGCCCCTTGAATGGGAAAAAATAACTTTACTCATCTGACAGGGGACTAATAGGCAGAGTAATACAAGGAACTCAAATTTCTCAAAATTAACGAAACAATCCCATTATAAATGGGCAGAGGACAGGAATAGACATGTCTCAAAAGACATGCAAATGGCTAACAGGTATATGAGAAAATGCTCAACATTATTGATCAGGATGCAAATCAAAACCACAATGAGATACCATCTCACCTCAGTTGGAATGGCTATTACTAAAAAGACAAAAAGTAACAGATGATGGTGAGAATGCAGAGAAACAGAAACTCTGTTACACTGTCAGTAGGAATGCAAATCAGTACAAACAGGATGGAAACCAGTATGGAGAACTCTAAAAAACTCTAAAGAACTACCTTATGGTCCAGCAATCCTACTACTGGGTATTTATTCAAAGGAAAGAGTTTAGGCCGGGAGTGGTGGCTCATGCTTGTAACCCAGCACTTTGGGAGGCTGAGGCAGGTGGATCGCTTGAGGTGAGGAGTTTGAGCCCAGTGTGGCTAACATGGTGAAATCCCGTCTCTACTAAAAATACAAAAAATAATTAGCTGGGCTTTGTGGCACATGCCTGTAATCCCAGCTACTGGGGAGGCTGAGGCAGGAAAATCACTTGAACCCAGGAAGTGGAGTTTTTGGTGAGGCAAGATTGTGTCACTGAACTCCAGGCTAAGCAACAGGGTAAGACTGTCTTTTAAAAAAAAATCAATATAGCACAGGGATATCTGCATTCTCGTTTATCACGGCACTGGTTACAATAGCAAAGATATGGAATCAATCCAAGTATCCATCAACAAGCAAATAGCTAAATAAAATATGTGAAGTGTACACAATAGAATACTATTTGGCAATAAAAATATAATGAAATCATGTCATTTGTAGAAACATGGATAGATCTGGAAGTCATTATGTTAAGTGAAATAAGCCAGGCATAGAAAGACAAATACCGCAGGTCCTCACATGTGGGAGCTAAAAAAAACTTCATCTCATGGACACAGAGAATACAATGGCAGATACCAGAGGCCATGAAGACTGGGTGTGTGGAAGGGAGAATGAAGAGAAGTTGGGTATTGGGTGCAAACATACTGTTAGAAGAAATAAGCTGTAATGTCTGATAGCAAAACAGTATTTCAAAGTAGACAGAATACACATTCACTCCATGTAACAAACACTCACATGTACCCTATAAATAGGTAAGGTGTTATGGGTGTGAATAAAATATTCTTTTTTTGGGTGGGAGGGATGGAGTCCTGCTCTGTTGCTCAGGCTGGAGTGCAGTGGCATAATCTCGGCTCACCACAAACTCTGCCTCTGGGGTACATGTGATTCTCCTATCTCAGCCTCCCAAGTAGCTGGGATGATAGGCATGCACCACCAAGCTTGGCTTATTTTTGCATTTTTAGTACAGACGGGGTTTCACCATCTTGGCCAGGCTGGTCTCAAACTCCTGACTTCATGATCCACCCACCTCAGCCTCCCAAAGTGCTAGTATTACAGACGTGAGCCACCATGCCCGGCAATAAAAGATTCTTTTAAGATGATGAGGTTATGTCCAAGTCTCCAGAGAGGGGCTCTTTGATTCCGCACAGCAATCCTGCCCACCTCTGCTGTTCCACCATGCTGGTCTTGTCTGAGCCTTCATGCTCTTGCCCCCAAAGCAGGTGGTTCTGACTCAGGTGGCCACACTGTGGACCTGGGTGTTGGTGGCTCAGAGAGTGGGTACTGGGGGCTTCCTGCCCTTCTTGTTCTACTGGGACCAGATGGAGCCAGGCGGTGACAGGGCACCACCTTCTTGACCAGATCCTGGGACATAGGAGGATGTCACCTGGCCCCTCCTCATCTCAATTCAGAGCCCAAAGTACCCCTGGGCCCGGGCCATGGGTGGGCTGGACTCAGGAAGGTTAGGATGCAGCTCAAGCCTTGTGGCACCTCTGGGTTCTCTACCCACCGAGAGTGCCCCATACAGATCACCCAAAACCTGTAGCTGGTGGGAAGGGTCTGGCATTTCTTTGATCCCTCCCCATTCATGCCAGGCACCCCAACTGTCCTTCCTGGTCTATTCCAGTGGTCACATTCCCCAGGGCAGCTTGGAGCTTTGTTCAGATGTCTACCATAATCAGGTGCCTAATAAGGGCTGAGACTTGCAAGACCACCTGGGCAGATGGGTAGGTGCCCCCTAGTGAGCACATGTCTGCCTGTGAGCACATGTGAGCCCCCTGCCCACATGTCTGCCTGCTCCCACTTGTGTTTGTCACAGCACCGCATGCCAGGGATACTGGCTCCCAGCCCTCCTGTCAGGAAGGAGACAACAAGTGCCTGGGGGTAAGGCATTTGCCAGGTGGGACAGGTGGCAAGTGCCAGAGCCGGGATTTGAACCCAGATCATGGAACACTTCGTGGAGGAATGGCAGATGTGGGATGCCCATGAAGGAAGGAACGGTGGCCCAGCTCCAAGGAGCCCAGCTGCTCCCTGCAACCCTTGAGGAAACTGCTCTGCCCTCAGCTGGGGAGAGGGCCCAGGAGGGCAGGCTTCCCCTTGCTTGCTGGCTCAGGGGATCACAGAGGGACAATGAGATTCAGAGTGTATTTTCTTTCTTTTTCTCTATTTCATTCAAAGTTCATTTAGAATCAAGCAAGAGGAGCCTTAGCTTAACCCTCCAGATCAGGCAAGACTTCAGTTACAAAAGAATACATTCTCTTTGCACTTGTAATTGGCTTCCCCTCCACTTTAACTGCCCAGATCATGTCAGTATCCCAGGCTTGGATTCCATTTTTCATCCCACACCAAAGTGCCTGTGGTTTGGGTGAGCAGGCTGGAGCCTGGCTGGGTAGGGTTGTGTGGCAGGAGGGTCTCTGCAGAAGGGTCGCAGCACCACTGCCTGGATCCAGCTCAACTCCGCTGCCAGGGTTGCCCCAGTCTGGCTTCCCGGGGCTTGCAGTATCCTGTTCACAGGATCTGCACACAGGGGCTCCTTTTTGCATCTTGCCCTCAGTGGTAGGTGCTCCTCCAAGCCCCCCCTGCCAGCCTGGAGACAGCTGCCCTCACCCCGTGCCCCTATTGCATGCCAGGGGAGTGGAGCCTCTGCCAGAAGCCCCACAGCCGTTGGCCCTGGCTTGGACACCGTGTAGGGGGGGCATCGGCTGGGAGCTGGCCACCCATCCCCAATCCTGTGGCCCCCGAGTGCCACATCAGTGATGGCCCCATATTCTGGGTGTGGACCAAGGAGGAGTGGGTGGGAAAGGCACGTGGGGCAGGCGCTGGGCTTTGTGGGTAGCTTGTGTTCTGTGATTTCTTTTGGAGGTGGAGTTTCGCTCTGCTGCCCAGGCTGGAGTGCAGTGGCGCCATCGGCTCACTGCAACCTCCGCCTTCCAGGTTCAAGCAATTCTCCCGCCTCAGCCTCTCCAGCAGCTGGAGTAGCTGGGATTGCAGGCGCCCACCATCACATCCGGCTAATTTTTTGTACTTTTAGCAGAGGGGGGGTTTCGGGTTTCACCGTGTTGCCAGGCTGGTCTCCAACTCTTGAGCTCAGGCAGTACCTCTGTGCCTCGGCCTCCCGAAGTGCTAGGATTGCAGGTGTGAGCCACCACGCCTGGCCTCTCCTGCGATTTTGAGGCCATTTATAGCGAGCTCCGACAGCCCGAGCTCCCAGCTGCAGCTGCCACCCCCCACCACCCACAACAGCACCGTCACAACTGTCTTGGGGGCTTTCTTCAGGGGAGGCTGTCAGGGTCCTCAAGTGCCTGGCGCTCTAGTCCCGGTCCTGCTTCTAGAGGCTTTTTCCCATTAGCCGCCTCTCCTTCTCAGTGGCCTGGAAGCTTGACCAACTCCCACACAATCTGGTGGGAACACAAGGCTGTCACTGACGTTTGCGGCGCCAGAACTTGCACATGCGGTGACACATGTCGGCCACTGTGCCACGTGCAGTGACGCCGCCTGAGGTGCGCACGCCGCACGCGCACGCCGCACGCGCACGCCGCACGCGCACGATGGTACATGCGACGCACGCGTGTAAACAGCTGGCTTGGCGTTCCACGCATGCGTCTGTAACGGCTTGTCTTGGCGTGGGTCGCTTGGCTTGGCGTTCGTCGCTCGGCTTGGCGTTCGTCGCTCGGCTTGGTCGTCCTCCAGTGGATTGGCGTTTTCTCCCTTAGAGTTTCTTTGCCGGGATTGACCTTTTCTAGACTGGGCTTGGAGTTCCCCTGACTGGGCTGGGTGTTTCCTTGGGGGATTGGCCTTTCCCTGGGTGGGCGTGGGCTTTCCCTGGGGTGGGCGGGGCTTCCCCTGGGTGGGCGTGGACTTCCCCTGGGTGGGTGTGGCCTTTCAAACCTTGCTGGGCTTGGTCTCTCCCGCTGTGCTTGGCAAGTGGTGGCTGGGCTTGTCCTTTCTCCTCTGACAGATTGGAAACTTGGAGTTTCCTGCTTGTTGGTGAAACTTGTTGGCAGAGGCGACTGGCTACTACCCGGCTCCTCGGGCTGGTAGAAGTGGATGGGGGCCGAGGTTTCTCCAAAGCCGTCTGCTTCCCCTATGAAGAAGCCCTTTGGCCTCAGGAGCACGATGGGCAAGTGGTGCTGCCATTGCTTCCCCTGCTGCTGGGGGAGTGGCAAGAACAACGTGGGCGCTTGGGGAGACCACGACGACAGCGCCTTCAGGGAGCCAAGGTACCACGTCCGTCGAGAAGATCTGGGCAAGCTCCACAGAGCTGCCTGGAGGGGTAAAGTCCCCAGAGCGGATCTCATCATCATGCTCAGGGGCCCCGGCGTGAACAAGAGAGACAAAAAGAAGAGGTAACCTGGCCTGGGCTGGGAGGAGGCGGGATGTGGGGACATGGGGTAGGGACATGCGCTCCTGGCACAGCAGGGGGTCGGGGGGGCTGGATTTCTCTCCTCCGCAGGACACACGCCACCCAGAGTTTGGAAAACTCAGAGGTCAGGGCACAGGCCTCTTTATGAGTAGCAACACAAAAACACAACTTTAGCTGATTTCCAATCCAGTTATAATTTCCCTTATAGAACACTGTTTCAAAATGATTTAACTTGTAAAATTAAGTTGATGCAGCAGATTATTTTTAATGTAAACATTTTAAAAATGTTATTTACATTATAGAAAGGTATATTGAGAACTAAGCCCCATCATATGTCAACTTCTGGGCTAAATATTCTTCAAATAAAATCTAACATGCATTTTATATGAGTGTACCCTATGTAAATATGTTATTTACTGAGGAACCTTGGAAGGAAACTGAAATGGGAAGATGGTTTGTGTCCTTGACTAGGAAGATACATTTTTCTTAAGATGTGAGCTCTTTCTGTGTTTCTCATTTTCACCTAAGCCAAATAAAAATAGCAAAGTTTTAGCACTTTTAAATTACACATGCTGTCTTTTATTATTGTGATACATTTTTTGTGACAGAATGGAAAAAGACTTGCCTTTCCAGATATAAAAATGTGCATGTGCTATTTTCACAAATTGTTTACTAACAGCTGAAAAGACATAAATGAATAGGACAGTTCATTCCCATTTTATTGATGAAGAAATTGAGACACAAAAAGTCTAAGCAACAGCTAGGAAGTGACAGAGCTTAAAGTAGGATTCCATCCCAAGTTGAATGGAATCCAAGGGCCATGATCTTTCTATTCAAATAGACTGCTCTTTCATTAAAACAGTGAGTAATGAGAGGTAACAAATAGTGTGCTTTCTTCACAGGAAAATTAAGTGTTTGTTTTGAAGGAAGAGGAATAGCAGGCTATTCAGTGTTTGCAATTACGTGAATCATTGATATAGCTTTAAATAGTAGACCACAATTTCCTAAAAAGCCTTCTTACTCTCCTAGGACTGCTCTCCATTTGGCTTGTGCCAGTGGAAATCCAGAAGTAGTAAAACTCCTGTTGGACAGACAATGTGACCTTCATGTCTTTGATAGCAAAAAGAGGACAGCGCTAATAAAGGTATGCAGTAGTCAACTATATCAGCGTGAGATGGATTTGATTCCAGTACATAGAATAAAAATGAGTTTCCTCATGTAAATATAACTAGTTGGTGAAAGCTGTGGAAGGTTTATTTTGAATTCTTAAGACTTATAATTTGTTTTTTTATAATACTCGCAGGCCATACAATGCCAAGAAGATGAAAGTGCATTAATGTTACTTGAACATGGCACTGATCCAAATATTCCCGATGTGTATGGCAATACCACACTACACTATGCGGTCTACAATGAAGACAAATTAATGGCCAAAACACTGCTTTTATACGGTGCTGACATTGACTCAGCAAACAAGGTATAGATCTACCAGTTTTATTTTCAAAATACTGAAATGCATTTGTTTGAACACTGACCTGTGTAATGGTCAGTTTTCCATATTTGGAAGCTCAAGCATAACCTGAATGAAAATATTTTGAAATGACTTAATTATTATCTAAGATTTTATGTTAAATATTATTACTTTTAAGGAAACATTTGAGGGTACAGTTTTTTTTTTAATGCACTTGTGGTAAATTGTTTTTTGAAAACACTGAAATTATAAAAGGTAATACTTGTTTTTTAAAAAATTTTCCCTTCCAGGTTTTTTTTTTTGGCCCTAATCAATGTAAAATGACAAAATTTGCCCTGGAAATAGGTTTTACATTAAAACTCCAAGAAAACTAAACTATATTTCAGTGAATAGAAATCCTGCTGCTTTGGCAAGTTCCTAAAAAAAAAAAAGTAGTATACATGAAGTGTTGTATCTCTCAATGGCAAGGCTTAAGATATTTCTGATTGCTCATGAGGCAGAAATGAAAAGGGAAAAAGAGAGAAATCAGAAATATTGAGGCCAATTTTTCAATTAGATAATGGAGAAAAAAACTATGAAGAGATTGTGTGTGTGTGTGTGTGTGTGTGTGTGTGTGTGTGTGTGGTGGTGTTCATTTATCTGTTTTCATTGTATGGTAACACAAGGATCTCTTCAGTTTTAGGTAATGACAGTTTTCAGTTTGGGAAAGGGAGTTAGTGAGTTGTAAGCTCCCTAGAGATCAATTTTCGAAGGCCTCTGAGGAACCAGACTGGCAGTGAATAGGTGGTAATGTAGTGGGAAACCCTTGAGCAGAGGGAATAATAAGTAATCAACTGACTTATTATCCTATTCTGGTAGAAATGGGCAATTAGAGTCTCATTCTGCTTTCAAATCTAGAATGTCTTGATAGGAAGGTGGTTCATAAGGCACTTATAAGTAACAAGATCAAGTTGGATTTTGAGTTTACTAGACCCTGTTCTACTCTTACCTTGGAAAATTATGTGGTTTTTTCAGCAAATGAGTCTCTCTCCTACTCTTTCCTCTTTTTGGCCAAATACTCAAGTGATAAAGGGACTTTGTCATGTGGGTGAGAGATGAGACTGAAGTAATTGTGTGTTGTACTAGTTGTCAGAATTGTGCATCCCAGTAACCTGAGGAAACGTTTTTAATGATCTACAAGTCTAGGCTCTACCCTGAAGATACTGATAGAGTAAGTCTAATAAAGCCTGGATACGTATGTTTAAAAATATTTCCTTGAAGCCAGGCATGGTGGTGCATGGCTGTAGTTCCAGCTGCTAGGGAGGCTGAGGTGGGCGGATAGCTTGAGAATAGGAGTTTGAATCTAGCCTGGGCAACATAATGAGACCCTGTCTCTAACAACATCAACAACAGGGACAAATTCCTTAAAATGCAGATACTCCTACCTAAGAACCACTGAATAGATGTAAATAATATGTAAATTCACATATCTCAGAAACTTAAGATATCTGTAGAAGAGTTGAAGTTGGATATGTGCCAATTCCTTTAAATCTTTCCTTTCCAATAATATTAGTCTTTTTTTCTTTTTCATTTTTTTTTTTTTGAGATGGGGTCTCACTCTGTCTCCCAGACTGGAGCGCAGTGGTGCAGCCACAGCTCACGGTAGCCTTAACCTCCCCAAGCTCAGCCTCCCAAAATGCTAGGATTACAGGTGTGAGCCACTATACCTGGCCTAATCTGACTTTTATCTCTGTGGTAGGGACATTAAAATGAATATTACTGGAAGTATCTCTAAGCTGACAGAATAGTAATTTTTCCTTCCTACTATCAGTTATTTACTGCTATTCAGAAGGTCTTTAGAAATTTGCAATGAGTAGTCTTTCAATAAGTAGACGATGGTTCCCTCAGGATTTTGCGTCTTTTTGTCATCATTCAAGTGCTTAGGTCAGTAAGTCGTTATTAAGAGCAGAGTTTTCTCAATCAGAATTGTAGCAAATTCTAAACCTTTTTTGTCAATTGAAGCTGTATTATGGACTATCCAGTATGTCTCTTAAATTTGTAGAGCTTTGACTTAATCAGGAATGGCAGTTTTAAACACTAAAAGCCATAGAATTATTAAGAATACAGATAGAAATTCTGTTAATTTAGTTTTAGCAGTTTGAATTCATTATCTATTTAGTTAACAATCTGGGAAAATTAAATACAAATAGATTTTAAATGAATAAATGTTGGAAAAATCCTTGAAAAATTGACAGTATGAGTCTTAATAGCAATTTTTGTTGCATGTTGGAGCTTAATGTTTTAGTAAAACATGTGAAACTAAAGAAATATTTTACATGCAAATTCTTGCTTTATACACAAAGATATGTCATAAGGTTTGAGGATATAGAGATAAAAGATACAGGCCTTGCCCTCAAGAAGCTCTTTGTTTAGATGGGAAAAAGTATTATTATCTAATAATACCATGTCAAATGCTGAATTAGAAGCAAAGATTTTTGGAACCAGTAAATATTTAAAGTGAGTTTTTAAGATGACCAGAGTTAATGCGGTGAGGCAGAGGAGAGGTGTTTCTCAAGGGAAGGAGGAGCATGTGGGAAAGCACAGAAGAGTGAGAAGGAAGGACAACGTTTTATTTCCTTTCTGTGACTATAAGTCCATAGGATCTTATTTAAAGTTTCCAGTTCAGTTGAGAAATATGTAATTTTTTGAATTACATATTGTTTTTGCTTTATATTGTTTTACAGAGTGGCCTGACACCACTTTTGCTGGGCGTACATGGACAAAAAGAGCAAATGGTGAAATTTTTAGTCAAGAAAAAAGCTAATTTAAATGCACTTGATAGGTTTGGAAGGTATAGTTAATTCTTTTAATCTGTGTGTTTTAGAGTGATATTCACTCAAGACATAAATAGTAAATTAATAAGATTAACTTCTATTTATTGGGATGTAGTGATGATTATCAACACAAATGAGTTAAGGGGAATAGCAGTTACTTGGACTGGGATAAGCAGTTACATGGCGATCCATACATAGACTTCAAAGTTACCACTTTTTTTAGTTCACATAAAGAACAGTTTTAGTAGGATTCATCTTCTCTTATTATATTGATTGATGTTATATGTTATGTGACATTTTTGGTTATATGATCTTACGTTAGCTAAAGGGAGTTCATATTAGTGTTATGAAGTGTGAACTTTAACTTTTATTTTAGTTTATGACTCAGTTTTGAACTTCTTAAACCTTGCTAGTGGTTTTTAACCTCTGCTTCTTATATGCTTTTCCACTAAATATGCTATATTAAACATAAACAGGAATTGAAAATCATTTTGAATGGCTCTGCTTTAAGTTGCTTTTTTTTTTTTTTTGAAGAATATTAATGTTTGCTTATCCCTACATGACAATTAATTGCTATTCCCACGTATTTTGGGTTCATCAGCTTTTTTCCTTTTTTATTTCCAGTGTATTTTGATGTTTTTTAAATTGGTATGGAGAGAGGGAGTGAAGATAGTTTTAACTGGATACAGTTTTCCTTTAATGAAGGCAAGTTGTAGGTGGGTGATGAAGAGAAAAGAACTAGGCTTTAGATTCATGCAAGACTGGCATTTAATTTAGTGCGTAGCACATGCTTATTGGCATCATTAACTGAAACTACTATGACTACACTTCTTACCATTATTATTAATATTACTGCTTTCAGCATGCAGAATATTCTTATTTATCTGACCCTCTGGCTGATTTTCTATTAAGGGTATCAGTCTAGGGAAGCTGGGAAAAAATCTTCACTTAAATCTTTGTCCACTTCAGATAAGCAGCCATAACATAGTTTCTTGCTCATCAAAGGCCTTTAAATTAGTAACTTCTACTATGCAATACCCCACTGAGATAAGAGTCTTCCTTTTTGACCCTTCCTTTTAACCTTGGTGGTATTTTACAAAGATGAACACTTAGGCACTCAAGATGCTTACGTCTTTTAGTGCATGTAAATGTTTAATTCTGCATGGACAGGCAAGATATTAAATTGGTAAAGTATATCAAACTAGCTTTTATAGTAGCTTTATTAAAGTTCCTAAGGAAGAAATTCTCTCTGTCATTTTAGAACTGCTCTCATACTTGCTGTGTGTCGTGGATCAGCAAGCATAGTTAGCATTCTACTTCAGCAAAATATCGATGTATTCTCTCGAGATGCATCTGGACGGACTGCTGAAGATTACGCAGTTTCCAGTCGTCATGATATGTAAGTGTTCACATTAAAAGGCTAGTTAACACTAAATTGAGGTTTAAAATAATTATAACCATTGTATCTTATATATCAGGTGAGATGTCATAGTTTGGTTAAGGTAGTTTTAAAGTGGCAGTGAGTTATCCCCCCCCATCAGCTAGAAATCAAACAAAAAGCTAGACTAGTTAGAAGAACCAATGGGTACAGGATTCTTTATCTCAGGACTTTTAAGACCTTTATCCTTAGAGATCCCAACATTGTTTATTTCATTCCAAGTATAACACCTATGCGTGGGATAAAAAATAATGTCACATCTTTGACTTTTCTGATGAGTCATTTGGGTCTTGAGATGTCCAGTTTAGCAGGAAGTGTTAGACTGTCTTCTGGGGACTATTTCCTATGTACTCTTTGAATTTTTCAGGAACCAAAGGTGTTCATAAGCCCAAAGAAGACAGTCCTTTTTATCATGTCAGAAGGAGGAGAAGAAAAAGGACATGTTAATTGTTCTGTTGTTTCCGTTGATTCTGTTGCCACTGAAACTGGTCCTGCTGCCTAGTTGACCTTTGACACCAAGATGCCCTTACTGATTCAGATCCCTCAAGTCTTCATACATAGACTTCAAAGTTACCACGTTTTTTAGTTCACATACATATGCTTATGTGCTCAGCCATTGTTCTCAAGGTACCAGCACCCTGCTCGGGCAGCTCAGCATCCTGGCTTTATTCACACACAAAGTGAGCAAATCGACTCCTCCCCCCACATTGAAAACCTGATGTGGAACTCACATCTTATCCTAGACTTAACTGACACCTTCATGGTAAGAGATCCTTTGAGTTCCAGGTTGGTCTTTTCTCTAGCATGTATTGGTTAGGCTTGTTCTAAACTATCAGAGAGCTTCAAATAATGTGGCAGAAAGAGATCAGTGTTTGTTTCTTCTTTGCTACCAGATCTGTACCCTGAAGCATCTTTATATCCTAAGGTACTATACATACCTTAGGCAATAGAAAGTCCCATCTTAACCTTCTTCAGAGCAGTGGGCATCCAGTTGTGATTGGCCCCTTCAGTGATCTGTTTTCCATAATGATGAAAACTACTTACATCTCTTCCTCAAGATTTAAAAGTATTTTGAAATTCTACCTCACAGAAAGCCGTTGAAGATAATTCTTGGGATCTCAAGTAGGTTAGTTGGACTTAGAGGCAAACCTTGTCCATGACTCATCACTGTCCATTTGTAAAAGTAGGGCTTTGTGCTTGCATCAGCAGCACATACCCTAAAATGGGAACAGTACAGAGAAAATTAGCATGGCCCTGCATAGGGTAGCTGCACAGATTTTTGAAGCATTCCATATTTGCACAGTCACTGGAAGGTCATTTGACTATATGCTGACTAGCTCCAAGGAAACGGTGTGAATCGAAGCAAAACGGGTGCCACCTAAATATTGAAATTGTGATTTGCACTACAAAAATATTCACGTAAGGTGGTCTGTGAGATTACGCCAGAGCTGAATAATATGTGGGGTGTTTTGTGCAAAATATATTGTTATTATGTATCTTGAAAATTAGAGAATGTCAAATTGCAACTTCTTCATGGAATCTAAAAAAAAAAGTAGGGTTTTGGTCTTCTATGTCAGCTGGAGATGAACATGGCTATGAAGCATCATCCTAAAAAACATCTGTTGGTTCAGAATGTGAGTCTGTAGAGAAGGATCATTGGTCCAAGCCACGTCTTGACATCCACTGATTTTTTTTGCTCTTGGTTTGATTGATAAACTCTGTATAGTGGACAATCACGTTATTGACTTTAATGAGATACTTATGAATAAATTTAGTTACAAACTATGAAATAGTTGAGATGCCCTGAATTATAAGCCATAAAGAATAGGACAACTAATAAGCAAAATTAAGACTTAATAACATTCTCTGAAAACTACATTTGCATCTTAGGACCTATGAACAAAATACACATTGGGGTTTTTTTTTCAACGGAATCTTGCTGTGTTGCCAGGCTGAAATGTAGTGGCGCAACTGTGGCTGACCGCAAACTCCACCTCCCAGGTTCAAGCAATTCTCCTGCCTCAGCCTCTTGAGTAGCTGAGACTACAGGCATATGCCACATGCCCAGCTAATTTTTTGTATTTTTAGTAGAGATGAGGTTTCACCATGTTGGCCAGGATGGTCTTGATTTCTTGACCCCATAATCTGCCCGCCTCGGTCTCCCAAAGTGCTAGTATTGCAGGTGTGGGACACGGCGCCCGGCCACACATTGGGTTTTATTTGGGATTCCAAGATAATTTTAATCATAAAGTTTAGGAACAGATTATTCCATGGCTTTACTATTTCTCTGAGCATTTAACAAATATTATCTTGTTTAATCTTTATCACAACCTAGTGAAATAAGGCAGCAGAGTCCTCACTTTGTGGAAGACATTGAGCCTAAGAGAAGTGAATTTTCCAAGAATAAATAGCTGTTCATTGTGGAGCTAGGACTTACTCGGAGTTGGGAAACTTTCTATTATGTCAAGCTAATGCAAATTAATTTACCGAGTCATAGTGCCCTTGATTTATGAGTATTTCATCTCACTTTTTTTCTTCTTCAATTAGAAGCTTAATGAGAAGTTTGTAGAATGTACACATAAGTGGATGGGATAATATTGTTAAGTTCTGATATTCTAATATTATTGAAATACTCTTAAGAATTTTACATTTGGTAAGTATTTTTTGTATCAGTATTAATATAGTCATTTTATTTGTTACATTTTTATACATAGAATTTGCCAGTTACTTTCTGACTACAAAGAAAAACAGATGTCCAAAAGCTCTTCTCAAAACAGTAATCCAGGTAAGACTTCTGTCAGTGAATTACTTTTTTTTTTCCCATTTATTTATTTTATTGCATTTTAGGTTTTGGGGTACATGTGAAGAACATGCAAAATTGTTGCATAGGAACACACGTGGCAGTGTGATTTGCTGCCTTCCTCCCCATCACCTACATCTGGCATTTCTCCCCTTGCTATCTCTCCCCAGCTTCCCACCCCCCACCCTCCCTCCCCTATTTCCCCCCAACTGACCCCAGTGTGTAGTGCTCCCCTCCCTGTGTCCGTGTGTTCTCATTGTTCAACATCCGCCTATGAGTGAGAACATGTGGTGTTTGATCTTCTGCTCTTCTGTCAGTTTGCTGAGAATGATGGTTTCCAGGTTCATCCATGTCCCTACAAAGGACCCAAACTCATCGTTTTTGATGGCTGCATAATATTCCATGGTGTATATGTGCCACATTTTTCCTATCCAGTCTATCATCGATGGGCATTTGGGTTGGTTCCAGGTCTTTGCTATTGTAAACAGTGCTGCAATGAACATTCGTGTGCACGTGTCCTTATAGTAGAACGATTTGTACTCCTTTGGATATATACCCAGTAATGGGATTGCTGGGTCAAATGGAATTTCTATTTCTAGGTCCTTGAGGAATCGCCACACTGTCTTCCACAATGGTTGAACTAATTTACACTCCCACCAACAGTGTAAAAGTGTTCCTATTTCTCCACATCCTCTCCAGCATCTGTTGTCTCCAGATTTTTTAATGATCGCCATTCTAACTGGCGTGAGATGGTATCTCAATGTAGTTTTGATTTGCATTTCTCTGATGACCAGTGATGATGAGCATTTTTTCATATGTTTGTTGGCCTCACGTATGTCTTCTTTTGTAAAGTGTCTGTTCATATCCTTTGCCCACTTTTGAATGGGCTTGTTAGTTTTTTTCTTGTAAATCTGTTTTAGTTCTTTGTAAATTCTGGAGATCAGTCCTTTGTCAGATGGGTAAACTGCAAAAATTTTTTCCCAATCTGTTGGTTGCCGATTCACTCTAATGATTGTTTCTTTTGCTGTGCAGAAGCTGTGGAGTTTGATTAGGTCCCATTTGTCTATTCTGGCTTTTGTTGTCAATGCTTTTGGTGTTTTGGTCATGAAGTCCTTGCCTACACCTATGTCCTGAATGGTTTTGCCTAGATTTTCTTCTAGGGTTTTTATGGTGTTAGGTCTTATGTTTAAGTCTTTAATCCATCTGGAGTTAATTTTAGTGTAAGGTGTCAGGAAGGGGTCCAGTTTCTGCTTTCTGCACATGGCTAGCCAGCTTTCCCAACACCATTTATTGAACAGGGAATCCTTTCCCCATTGCTTGTTTTTGACTGGTTTGTCAAAGATCAGATGGTTGTAGATATGTTGTGTTGCCTCCGAGACCTCTGTTCTGTTCCATTGGTCTATATCTCTGTTTTGGTACCAGTACCATGCTGTTTTGATTACTGTAGCCTTGTAGTATAGTTTGAAGTCTGGTAGTGTGATGCCCCCCGCTTTGTTCTTTTTGCTTAGAGTTGACTTGGCTATGCGGGCTCTCTTTTGGTTCCATATGAAGTTTAAGGTGGTTTTTTCCAGTTCTGCGAAGAAGGTCATTGGTAGCTTGATGGGGATAGCATTGAATCTGTAAATTACTTTGGGCAGTATGGCCATTTTCACGATATTGATTCTTCCTAAGCATGAACATGGAATGTTTCTCCATCTGTTTGTGTCCTCTCTTATTTCATTGAGCAGTGGCTTGTAGTTCTCCTTGAAGAGGTCCTTTACATTCCTTGTTAGTTGTATTCCTAGGTATTTTATTCTCTTTGTGGCAATTGTGAATGGAAGTTTGTTCTTGATTTGGCTCTCTTTAAGTCTGTTATTGGTGTATAGGAATGCATGTGATTTTTGCACATTGATTTTGTATCCTGAGACTTTGCTGAACTTGCTTATCAGTTTCAGGAGGTTTGGGGCTGAGACGATGGGGTCTTCTAGATATACAATCATGTCGTCTGCAAATAGAGACAATTTGACTTACTCCTTTCCTATTTGAATGCCCTTTATTTCTTTTTGTTGTCTGATTGCTCTGGCTAGAACTTCTAATACTATATTGAATAGCAGTGGTGAGAGCGGGCATCCTTGCCTGGTGCCACATTTCAAGGGGAATGCTTCCAGTTTTTGCCCATTCAGTATGATATTGGCTGTTGGTTTGTCATAAATAGCTTTTATTATTTTGAGATACGTTCCATTTATACCTAGCTTATTGAGTGTTTTTAGCATAAAGGGCTGTTGAATTTTGTCAAAGGCCTTCTCTGCATCAATTGAGATAATCATGTGGTTTTTGTCTTTGGTTCTGTTTATGTGGTGAATTACGTTTATAGACTTGCGTATGTTGAACCAGCCTTGCATCCCCGGGATGAAGCCTACTTGATCATGGTGGATAAGCTTTTTGATGTGCTGTTGCAATCGGCTTGTCAGTATTTTATTGAAGATTTTTGCATCTATGTTCACCATGGATATTGGCCTGAAGTTTTCTTTTCTTGTTGAGTCTCTGCCGGGTTTTGGAATCAGGATGATGTTAGTGTCATAAAATGATTTGGGAAGAATTCCCTCTTTTTGTATTGTTTGGAATAGTTTCAGAAGGAATGGTACCAGCTCCTCTTTGTATGTCTGGTAGAATTCAGCTGTGAACCCATCTGGACCTGGGCTTTTTTTGGGTGGTAAGCTCTTAATTGCTGCCTCAACTGAAGACCTTGTTATGGGTCTGTTCAGGGTTTCGGCTTCTTCCTGGTTTAGGCTTGGCAGGAGGCAAGTGTCCAGGAATTTATCCATTTCTTCCAGGTTTATTAGTTTTTGTGCATAGAGTTGTTTGTAATAATCTCTGATGATGGTTTGAATTTCTGTGGAATCTGTGGTGATATCCCCTTTATTGTTTTTTATTGCATCAATTTGGTTATTCTCTCTTTTCTTTTTTATTAATCTGGCTAGTGGTCTGTCTATTTTGTTGATCTTTTCAAAAAACCAGCTCCTGGATTTATTGATTTTTTGAAGGGTTTTTTGTGTCTCTATCTCCTTCATTTCTGCTCTGAACTTAGCTATTTCTTGTCTTCTGCTAGACTTTGAGTTTTATGATCTTGCTCCTCTAGCCCTTTCAGTTTTGACGATAGGGTGTCAGTTTTTGATCTCTCCTTGCTTCTCATGTGGGCACTTATTGCTATATATTTTCCTCTAGAGACTGCTTTAAATGTGTCCCAGAGATTCTGGTATGTTGTGTCTTCATTCTGGTTGGTTTCGAAGAACATCTTTATTTCTGCCTTCATTTCATTGTTTATCCAGTCAACATTCAAGAGCAAGTTGTTCAGTTTCCATGAAGCTGTGCGGTTCTGAGTTAGTTTTTGAATTCTGAGTTCTAACTTGATTGCACTATGGTCTGAGAGACTGTTTGTTACGATTTCCGTTCTTTTGCATTTGCTGAGGAGTGATTTACTCCCAATTATGTGGTCAATTTTAGAGTAGGTGTGATGTGGTGCTGAGAAGAATGTATATTCTGTGGATTTGGGGTGGAGAGTTCTGTAAATGTCTATTAGGTTTGCTTGGTCCAGGTCTCAGTTCAGGTCCTGGATATCCTTGTTAATTTTCTGTCTGGTTGATCTGTCTAATGTTGACAATGGGGTGTTAAAGTCTCCCACTATTATTGTGTGGGAGTCTAAGTCTCTTTGTAAGTCATTAAGAACTTGCCTTATGTATCTGGGTGCTCCTGTATTGGGTGCATATATATTTAGGATCGTTAGCTCTTCTTGTTGCATTGATCCTTTTACCATTATGTAATGTCCCTCTTTGTCTCTTATGATCTTTGTTGCTTTAAAGTCTAATTTATCAGAGATGAGAATTGCAACTCCTGCTTTTTTTTGCTCTCCATTTGCTTGGTAAATCTTCCTCCATCCCTTTATTTTGAGCCTTTGTGTATCCTTGCATGTGAAATGGGTTTCCTGGATACAGCACACCGATGGGTTTTGTCTTTTTATCCAATTTGCCAGTCTGTGTCTTTTGATTGGGGCATTTAGTCCATTTACATTTAGGGTTAATATTGTTATGTGTGAATTTGATACTGCCATTTTAGTGCTAGCTGGCTGTTTTGCCCTTTAGTTGAGCTGGTACTTGTTGTTCCTTTATATGTGTAGAGCCTCTTTCAGGAGCTCTTGTAGAGCTGGCCTGGTGGTGATGAAGTCTCTGAGTACTTGCATGTTCCCAAAGGATTTTATTTTTCCTTCACTTATGAAGCTTAGTTTGGCTGGATAGGAGATTCTGGGTTGAAAGTTCTTTTCTTTAAGGATGTTGAATATTGGCCCCCATTCTCTTCTGGCTTGTAGGGTAGTGAATTACTTTAAGTCAGTTGTCCCCAGCCTTTTTTGGCATGGGAGATCGGTTTTGTGGAAGACAATTTTTTCATGGACTAGGAAAAAATGCAGATGGTTTCAGAATTATTCAATCACATTATGTTTGTTGTGCTACTTTATATTTTTATTACATTGTAATCTGTAATGAAATAATGATACATTATGTATCATTACCATAATGTAGAATCATGAAGCTCTGAGATTGTTTTCCTGCAACTAGATGTTCCCATCTGGGGGCAAAGGGAGACAGTGACAGATCATTAGGCATTAGATTCTCATAAGAAGCACATAACGTAGATTCCCTCATATGGTCAGTTCACAACAGGGTTCATGCTCCAATGAGTAATGCTGGCACTGATCTGGCAGGAGGTGGAGCTCAGGTGGTAAGACGAGTCCTGGGGCATGGCTGTAAACACAGATGAAGCCTCCCTGGCTTACCTGCTGCTCACCTACTCCTGTGTGGCGTGGTTCCAAAATGGCCATGGATTTGTACCCAGTGTGTGGCCTGGGAGTTGTGGATGCCTGCTCTGGGTGGTCCTACCATAGACAAAAAAGTAAAAGGAAGGAAGTTTTGATCACAAAAGAACAATGGAGCCCAGGTCATGTTACATATGCTTGTACCAACAAGGTCTGACTATTACTGACCTCATTCCTCCTAATTTGAAATTGAAAGAGATATATTTACTTTGTTGGGACAAGATGTGTTCTTCTACATGATGGTTGTCATGATAACAGTAATTTTGTTAAAACAAGGTGCTCTGCCACCATTTATCAAAAGATTTTCATGGTAAATACACAAATTGCTCAACTCTAGGCTCAGCAGATGATAATAAAAGTACAAAAATGCTTCACAATAACAAAAATGCTAGTATGCTATCTGGATGTGGACACCTAATACATTGTATAATTCAAACTGTATGAGGACACCTTTAATTTAGCCATATGTTTATCAAAGAGCTTCTGTAAGTTAGGTTTTATAGGTTGTAGGAGACCAAGATGGAGCAGAGGTAGTTTTGATCTTTAGGGAGTTCATAATAGAATAGAGCCGTCTCTACTTTATTTCTGTGCTTTTTCAACAGAATTTACAAAGCAAACATTTTTATTTATGTTTTTACTTGTCCACTTGACAAATAACTATAAAATGTTTTTTAGATACTAAGCATTTTTGTAAACCTGCAGAACGCAAACAATTAAAAATACAGACAGGAGCTTGTTATTATCATTGTCATTTTTATTATTTTGCTACTCTATTCAGTGCTTACTGTGTGTTAGAAGCCCACTGGAAGCTTATAATTATGATTTATTATACATTATATTTATTATGTGCCAGACATATGTGATGAGAAATGAAAGCTTTAAAAAATAGTAGGTAGGATTTAAGGTAAGGATACAGAGTGAGTAGAATTTTTCTAGGTTAAAGAAGCAGAAGAATGATGTTTGGCAGAAGGAACATGTAACAAGATTGTGGGTTTGGCAGAAGAAACATCTAATGAGACTGCCCATTTGGGAGGAAGAGCAGCAAATGCAAAAGACAAGATGCTTGAGTGAACTTTGCAGGGTTTTTGAGTAGTTCACTTTGCTAGTTCGAAAAGTGTGAGATATGAGAGGTTGGGAATGAGGTGAATACTTAGCTAAGGCAAGTTTATGATCAACTTTTTAATACTAAAGAAATGAGTAGCTCTTACCCTGTGGGCCATGGGAAATTTACCAGGTAGAATGCTTTGGGCTGCAAAGACTAATGAGCAGTGGCTAAAACAGTAGGAACCAGAGTTGTTCTTGTTGTTCAGTGATATTTTAGGATCCCTTTTGTCCCTCTTTCATTTGTGCTTTTGGCGGTGTCTTGTTCGTATCTCCTTTCATGGTTGGCTAATTTGCAGCAACTCCAAACATTTTGTTCTCACAACACAACATCACCAGGGCTGCTTTTCTTTTGGTGTTTTAGTCATGAAGTCCTTGCCTATGCCTATGTCCTGAATGGTATTTGTATAGGCTAGTATTTAACATAAACTTGAGAGTGAGTACCAAGATTATATTTAGAAATTAGGAACTGGATGGGAAAACTAGATAGGAATTTAAAGATTGTGAACTCAAACACAGTGTGGTTTCTTTGCTTTATTTTCACTGCTCTGAATTCACAACTATTAGTTTTTTTTTATATATATATATAAAAAACATATATATATATACACACACATATATATACATATACACTATAGCTTTAAAAAGCACCTTTCCAAACCAAATATTAAGTGATTTCTTATAATTTCTCTGACTTTATTATAGAATTGACTTTCCAAGTGTTTATAAGAATTATTGAGAATTTTCTGCATAGTGTCATCTCAGCCATGTCCACATGAGCTATCCATCACTTTGTGTTAATGAATAATGGTTCACTAGGAATATTGGTTTTTTGCATTTAAAGTGATCAATATCTAATGCAGATAGGACCAGGGGCCACTCTTAAACATTAAAGTCCAAGCATCTTAAAATTACAATAAGGCTTTCATAATCTGACTTCTGCCCTACTCTCCATATTTAGCTGTTTTCCCTGTGTGCCCTTTCTCTGGCATTACTGAATGGCTGGTAATACCCTACTCACTCATCTTTCTTTTCTAGGCAAATACATTGACTCTTTCAGGCCTTACTCCCTATCTTGCTGCCTCCTGGAATGCTGTCATTCTTTCCTGCCCTCTACCTCTTTTACTCTGGCGAGCCTCAATATTTAATTCTCCACTTGTGCATGATTTCTATAAAAGCCATCCCTGACATGCTTTATTTTCATTCTTTTTCAACCCTAACACCTAGTATGTATGTATAGCAGGACTCAATAAAAAATTGCTGAGTAAAATAAAGACTGTTTATACAAAGATGACATGCAAGACTGTCCCCTTCAGTCTTGGAGGAGAGGGGACAGACATGGAACAATAATGTACAGTTCAGGTGGTAAAGATGCAGTAGAAAAATCAGTAAAGTACTAAGGCAGCCTCAAGGAAGGAGGTACCTGTTTATCAGGGGAAAGACATGCAGAATCGAGGAAGACTTCACATAGCATTGTTTTAAAAGATGAAAAAAACTTGTCAGAATAGTGGAGGGAAACATTTTAGGTATTAGGAAGACATTCCACACTAATAAATGTGTCAGTGATTTTGGAAATCAATTATAAGGTACTATTAGGAAGTGGAGAACAATATACTCTGTTACCTTTTGTGTTCTGTATTTTAAAGTTGTGTTTCTCTTGGTTTTGTTCATTTATGTTGGGTGGATGAATTTGTGAGTGAATGTTTGACATATTTGAATGTCTTGAATCTAGTGATATCCGATATCTCTCCAAGCGGTTTGTTGAAGTTTTGGAGAATTATTTCTTAAGTAACTACTTCATGAAAGATTAAATTTCATTTAAATGCTCAATTTATGAAACAAAATGAAATGTCTTAAATCTGTTTTTATAAAGGCAGTAATTTTTAATTGTTCTAAGCAGTTCATTTTAACTGAATATATGGATTTCTCTTCAGAACAAGACTTAAAGATGACATCAGAGGAAGAGCCTCAAAGGCTTAAAGGAAGTGAAAATAGCCAGCCAGAGGCATGTCAAATTTTCAATTTAAATTTTGGGTTTAATATTGTTTTCTTTGCTTTAATAATATTAGATAGTCCAAATGAAATTACCTTTCAGACTAGGCTTTGAGAATCAATAGATTGTTTTTTTTTAAAGAATATTTTAGTATATTGTTAAAATTTATTTTAATAAATTCAGCAACCTTATTAACAGAAGAATCAACATATTCTAATATTTAATATTTAACTTAAACATTATAACCCACTATTAAATTTAGAATATTCTTATTTAAAATGTTCTTGGGCTGGGTGCGGTGGCTCATGTCTGTAATCCCAGCACTTTGGGAGGCTGAGGTGGGCGGATCACGAGGTCAGGAGTTTGAGACCAGCCTGACTAACATGGTGAAACCCCGTCTTTACTAAAACTACAAAAATGAGCCAGGCGTGGTGGTGGGCGCCTGTAATCCCAGCTACTCGGGAGGCTGAGGCAGGAGAATGACTTGAGCCTGGGAGGTGGAGGTTGCGGTGAGCCAAGATTGCACGGTTACACTCCAGCCCAGGCAACAAGAGTGAAACTTCATCTCAAAAAAAAAAAAATAAATAAATAAATAAATTCATATTTGCCTTCTTGATTAGTTTATAGCTAATCTTTCTCTTTGGAATAGAGACAAAAAAAGTCCAGAACTTTGTTATTTTATTTTTACAACACTCTAACATGATAAAGAAAGTAACATCAATCATTGGATAATATTATTAAGCAATTGAAATTATGAACAGTGTAACGGTGATGGTCCCTGAGCTGGATTCATGGTAAAGGAGTAATCATGGCCAGTGATTGAAAATCTGCAGTTTTATATTGCCAGTCACTGATGCCAAGGTAAAAGATGCATTCTGCCTCTCATTGACCTCAGGGTTTCTGTTCAAAGAGAGAACCAGGTCATAAAAGCAACCCAACTGCCTGTTAACATGGATTATATCTTGCAGAATGGGACCTTTTGTGTTAATGTACAAACAGAATAATATTCTAACTTAAGTTTCAGAAAATCAGTACATATTAATTAAACATTTTTATCCACTGTCATTAGTACCTGTCAGAATATATTAGAACTGGATTTAAGCAGGCAGTCTAGATACATAACACTATCATATTACAGTGTATAATTTTAATTCAAATTTAAATATTTGCATTTCTTTCTGTTTGCTATTAATTTCAGCTCCTAATAATTTAAAGCCTGCCTACCCTCCAGTTTATAATCTTTTAAAAAAGCACTTAAATGCACAGTAGGGGCTCACTAGTTAGGGTATGGTGAAGTAAAATCTTTTCAAGTGAGGAAGGCTTTGCAACACTATAAATCATTTGCTAATTCATTTTTGGTAGATTTAACATGTAAATAATTAAGTTTAATCAAACAAATGGTGGCAAAGTTAAGTTTGCTGGTTCATGTTTTTCTTCTCCCTTTGGCTAAGGTGTGTTATTTTTCATGAGTTAGTCAGAAGCCAGTGATGTGGCAGTAGCTAAACGTACATTAAAAAGTTAATTCTTAATTTTAATTATTTAATTTTTATTTAATTATTCTAATAGGTAAATTTTAATTATTTTCTAATTTTTCATTGTCCATACTTGATTACTTAAGAATAAAATTATTTTAAAAACATGCACTCCCAAAGAGCACACATCTGAGAAATACAACAAGCAAATTAATCTTCTATTTTTGCATCTGCAGAAAATGTCTCAAGAACCAGACATAAATAAGGATTGTGATAGAGAGGTATAACTTTATATTTAAATGTTTCTGTTGAATTAGATTTTTACGTTATGTTGTTGAACAAAGTGTAGTAAGTTTAGGCATATATGATTCTATCATGTAGCAGCATAAATCATCAGTGAAAAATTTAGTATTTAACTCAAAAAGCTGAGTTCTGTACACTGAGTTTTAAAGAGAGACAAACCCTAGAGATCTTCTTCGTCATTATGGAATAATCCTGAATGGTGCTGTAAAATGCTAGGTAATGCCACTTGAGGAGCTTCGGCTCAATCATTTTATCTTTCTTGGTTTTAGTCTGATTATCAATAGATAATGTGGCTAAAAAAGATAATTTCTTATTCCGTATATCCTCCAGCTAGAAAATTTTATGGCTATTGAATGGGAAATTTGGGGAGCATTTCATTTTCTGGAATTCCTCGATAACACCTCAGCAGTTTCACTCTGATCCTTGTGTTGTGGCAAACTTTGGTTCCCATGTTTCAGTGAGGACCTTCATGTTTTTGATATCCCAGGAATCAAATGAAAAAAAAATGATCAAAGGCAGTCGGGGAGAAGTATATCTTAGTGCAGAAAAGGGAAATCTTTTCTATTCCTGACCCTGAGGTCAATTTCTCATCCTCTAAATCTGACTGTTTAATGGAAAATCCAGATGGTAAAGACAGAAGAAGACACATTTTGCATCTTTGTCTTTTTATTTGTGTGTTTCCACAAGTCAAATGGGGTAAATGTTTATATTAGATTCTGAAGAGTGGTTGGGAATAAAAGCACAAAATGAAGGAGGACCCTTTTTGAAATTTTAGAAAATTGTTTTATTCATTCAAACAGAAATAAAGCAAACTTTACAAAAATTTCAATGATATACTAATGATATAATAATTACATCTTAAAATTATATGGTAACAGTTCCATATATATGATCAAATTTAAGTGTGAAATATTTTTAATGACTAAAATAATGACAAACTGAGGTCAAGTGATAAAATAATTAAAATAAAAAGGTTCTTTTTATTCAGTAAAACAACAACCATTTTTAATATCAAGCTTCCACTCAAGGCTGAAGAAGAAATGCAGAAGCATGGAAGTAATAATGTGGGATTATCAGAAAACCTGACTAATGGTGTTGCTCCTGGCAATGGTGGTTATGGCTTAATTCAACGAAGAAGGAGCAGCAAACCTGAAAATCAGCAATTTTCTAGCACAGAGAATGAAGAGTATCACAAGTAAGCCTATGGCAACATTTAACAAGAGATAACTATGTGCTATCAAACAAATCCTAATTTGGGATAATATTCATGATGAACAAATTTTATACTTTTACTAGGATATTAAGATTTGTCTGGTTATCAGAAGAATGAAAGTCAGCAAACAATGAGTTATCGTTTTTTCCACTCATTAATTTATTTGAAAAATAACCAGTATTGACAATTTCTTTTCCTTTTAGTGAACTTTTATTTTAGCTTCATGGGTACATGTGCACGTTTGTTATATAGGTAATATGTATTATGGAGATTTGGGCTACAGATTATTTCATCAGCCACATAATAAGCAAAATACTTAACAGGTAGTTTTTTGGTTCTCTCCCTCCTGCCACCCTCCACTCTCAAGTAGGCCCCAGTGTCTGTTGTTCTCTTTGTGTCCATGAGTTCTCATTGTTTAGCTCCCACTAGTGAGTAAGAATGTGTGGCATTTGATTTTGTGTTCCTGCCTTAGTTTGCTTAGGATAATGGACTCCAGCTCCATCTGTGTTGCTGCAAAGGAAATGGTCTCATTGAAAAAGAGGTGTCTCATTGAAAAGACATTTTCTTACACTGTTGGTAAATACATTTTGAGTGTTGATTTAGTAGCATATTTACACAAACACATATAGTAAGTATATATATGTATGTTAAGGATATTTGTACAGGTATGTTACATATGTATAAGGACATTTATTGTAGTATTACTATATCAAAAATTTGGGGCTAGTTTAAATCCTTAACAATAGGAAATACCTCAGTTTTCATACTGAGAAAAGAATATGGTCTGCAACCATTTTTTAAAACTGTGGTTAGATCTAGAGTGTACGGGTGATTTCACAATTAACATGTATTTAAAGCATTTAGTTTGATGACACATCTTAAGACAATTTTGTTAGAATTCTTGTAATATCTGCTGTGTTGCAAGTGGAAGCTACATGCTACATTGACACGGTACCTTGTTAGCCACAAGATTGCTAGTTATTAAATTTTTGCTGTCAGTGCCTGAGTGCTGAAATAGTGGACCCTCACTTTGAATATTGCCAAGGGATTGCACATGGGGATCTATACTTCATATAAACATTTCAATATATTGGATAAAACTTGTGAAAATATGTAAAAGGATCTTTGATCTACTAAACCAGGAGTTGGCCAGCTCTTTCTGCAAATAGCCAGTTAGTAAACATTTTAGGCTTTGTGAACTGTATGTGTTTATTTTCTTGAGACAGGGTCTCACTCTTACCCAGGCTGGAATGCAGTTGCATGGTTGTGCCTCACTGCAGCCTTGACGTCCCCGGCTCTAGCGATCCTCCCACCTCAGCCTCTCTACTAGCTGGGACCACAGGTGTGCAACATCACACCCAGCTAATTGACTCTATGGATTATAAAGTGAATAAGCATGGCTGTGTTTCAAGATACTTTACTTGCAAAAACAGGCAGTGGGCTGGATTTGGCTCACAAGTGCTAATTTGCTGACCCCTGTGCTAAAAGGAAGGTGCTGTTAATACAGTGAATCTTATTTGTAAAAGTGCTCTGCATGTGTGACATTATTCTTCTTTTGAAAAAAGAATATATTTCAGTATTCTACTCACCATATATATTTTTTAACTTTTATTGATTTTTTTAAATTGTACTTAAAGTTCTGGGGTACATGTGCAAATCATGCAGGATTGTTGCATATTTTTCAACAGTGACTTCATATAATTTTTTCATTTATATAATTCATATAATTATACTTCATATAATTTTTAAAATTTCACTTATAAAATAAGATTATTTTCTGCATGTTTTCTATTTTATTCCTGTTAACAGAACTCAGTATTTTACTGTGATCAGTTACTTTCTATATTTGATGAGTATCAACTGTCTTAGAATTGGCTGATTTTTATCAAGCAAGAAATAATCCCCTTGTAACTTTTAGTATTCCTTAGTCTCTATAAGCCTGAACAAAATGATAATCAACTATGTAATCTAGAAATGTTCAAGGGATCATTTAGTTCTATAATTTTAAGAATTTAATACCTTGATCCGGCATTTTAAAATGCCATACTGTATAATTTTTAAAACCTTTAAAATACATAATTGTTATATAAAATTTGAAAACTGCACCATTTATGTAAAATTTGAAAACTGCTGTTTCTTATCTATCACTATTCCATGGCTGTGGAAGAAAATTACATCATTCATAGTCATGACTCCTAAGTATGATATTCTTAAAAGAACTATCTAAACTCACAAACTCAAGTTTTCTTTCCATTCACTCTTGGTTTCTCGCCAGAAGTCTTCAGTTTCAGCACTGCTCCAAAATTGTTTTTCTCAGGGTTATCACTGTTTTTTTTTCTGTAATAAATCTAGGAATTTTTTTCTTACACCTCATTTAATCTGTCAGCAATATTTGACCCATTGGAGGACATCTCCTCCGTAACAGCAGCTTCACTTGGCCTTCAGGACCTCACTCCCTCAGGCGTTTCCTTCTGCCTTTCTGGTCCATTCATCATGGTCTGTTTTGCTTGCTCCTCCTCATCTTTCACCTTTTGCATGTTGTTGTTTCCCAGGGCTCAGTCCTCAATCTTCTTTCTCATGACTTTTTCGTTTTTCTTTTCTTTTTTTCCTTTGAGACGGAGTCTCATTCTGTCATCCAGGCTGGAGTCCAGTGGTGTGCTCTCGGCTCACTGCAACCTTTGCTTCCTGGATTCAAGCAGTTCTCCTGCTTCAGCCTCCTGAGTAGCTGGAATTATTGATGTGTGCCACCATACCTGGCTAATTTTTGTATTTTTAGTAGAGACAGGGTTTCCACATGTTGGCCAGCCTGGTCTCAATCTTCTGATTTCTGGTAATCTACCTGCCTCGGCCTCCCAGTGTTGGGATTACAGGTGTGGGCCACCACCCACAGCCCCCCGTGACTTTTCCTGCTGTGTATGTGCTAGTGATTTCCAAATGTATGTCTTCAGCTCAGATCTCTCTCCTTCATTCCAGAGCTCTATGTCAGTCTGCTTACTTGACATCTCTCTTTAGTTAGTTATTGGGTATCACACACTTGTCAGATCCAAAATTGGGTTACTGATGTCCTTCCTCAAATCTACACCTCATGTAGTCTTTCCTACTTGGGTTAATGGCAACTCTTCCAGTTGCTCTGCCAAAAACCTCGGTGTCATTTTTGACTCATCTTTCTCTGTCTCTGACACCTGACACCTAATCTTTCGGTAAATCTTGTCAGGTCTCCCTGAAGATTATATCCAGAAGCCAGTTATATCTTGTACATCTGAGCCACCATTGTCTAGTCTAGATTAGTACTATAGACTGGTAATTGATTGTCCTGGTTTAAAAAAAATTCCTTTAAATCCTTAACTCAGTGGATGTATTTAATACATAAGTCAAATTGTGTCATTCCTCTGCCCCAACCCTTCTGATTATCTCCCATTTCACTTGGAGTATGTGTCAAAACTCCTCCTAATAACTAAAAGGTGGTACAGCATCTGGCGCATTATCTCTCTTGCTTAAACTTCTGTTTCTTACTTGCTTTGCTCTGCTTCAGCCACACTGAACTTCTTGCTATTTCTTATCCATCCCTATTGCTTAAAGACTCCAGGCACGCTTCTGTATTTGGCTGTTACCTGTGTCTGGAAGGCTTTTTCTTCAGCTATCCTCCTAGCTTACTCTTCCCATTCTTTCAGTCCTTTACTTAAAATCCCCTTTCTCAGCAGGGACTTTTCTGGCCAACCCAACTTTCCCACCACTCTTCCCCTCAAACATATAAACATTTTATTTTTCTGCTTTAGTTTTTCTCCTCTAACGTACTGCATATTTTGCCTTATCTGTCTATTGTTATTGTGTGTTTATCTCATTCTCATGAATAGGATCTTTATTGTTCACTACCATATCTTCACTGCCTAGAAAAAGGTCTAGTGGCCAGATGTGGTGGCTAACGCCTGTAATCCCAGCACTTTAGGAGGCCGAGTCAGGTGGATCATGAGGTCAGGAGGTCGAGACCATCCTGGCTAACACGGTGAAACCCTCTTTACTAAAAATACAAAAAATTAGCTGGGCATGGTGGCAAGCACTTGTAGTCTCAGCTACTCAGGAGGCTGAGGCAGGAGAATCACTTGAACCCGGGTGGCGGAGGTTGCAGTGAGCCGAGATCATACCACTGCACTCCAGCCTGGGCAGCAGAGTGAGACTCTGTCTCAGGAAAAGAGAAAAAGGCCTAGCATATCAGATGTAGCTACCTAATAAATACTTATTAAATGAGCGAACGGAGTTTATCCTGGGTATATTGATTGACTGATTGATTATTACTTAAAAAATGTTTGACATAGTTCATTGCAACAATTTTGCCTGGTAATTATGTGCATTTTTAAATTCTTTTAGCTCTTTCTTCATAAGCTATGTTCTTCATATTAATTTTTTTTATTTAGGGAGAAAAGCCCAATTTTGTGGTTATTCACTATACTTTTACTGGTGATTATGATCATTGTAATTATGGTAAAATGATTCAGAAGAATTGCAAACCTGACTGATATTTTATCAAAAAAATATTACTGTGGTAATTTTAATGGACTTACAAATTCTTTCCAAGGGATTATGAACCTTCAGTATTTGAAATAAAAAGAACAGAGTTGGAATTTTTTGCTTCCTATAGGAAGACATATACTGGTCAGGCACTGTCTATTCTGATGGAGCAGCAACTGCTGCTTAACTGTCTTTCAGAAGGAAGCTGCTTACATTGATATCGGTTGGTGAGCAAGGCCAGTGGTCATTGATCAGTTGACTAGATTTAGAACTGTCCCTGGGTGTCTTCTTGTTATCATGGCTACAGGTCAGTTCTTTCCAAAGTTTGAGTCAACTGTAACCGGAAATTTTCTATTTGAAAGTTGCTTTCCATTAACTATGTTCAAAATGAAACTATTTTATATCCCAGAATTGTGGACTTTTTTTTTTTATCAGGATGAATTGGTTGATAATTGGTCTCAGGAAGATATCTCTCT